TGGCGTTTGTGGTCCCTTTTCTCGATGATGAAGTACGAGGCATGTTTTCCAGAAATCACCGAATTTTAATTCGTGGGGAAGAAAAGATGAGAACCCAAAAAGAAGAAACACACCCACACCAGAAATATTATCTCCTTTCTTGCTTTTCTTCCCCACAGAGAAAGATAGAAAAAGAGAGGAGCTTTATTTATTTAACGCAAAGAGACCGAATAACTCTGAAAATCTTTCACAGTAGAAAATGGTGCGTAATTATGTATGTACTGTACGTGTGTTATATCTGAATTAAAATTAAAATTAAAATTACACGCTGCTGCGTACTCAAAGGCGGCGCAGCATAGCACAAACATGCGCATTGGTTTCTTTTTTATTATAAACCGTCAACGGACCGCGCAATGGACTTGTACCATGATTGATTTGGGCCTACAAAATTAGGGAAAGGGCAATGCTATATGTGCACCCCTTTTAATAAATTACACAAAGAAAAGTGTTATATGTACACTCCTTTTTTACACACAAGGGGGTGTACATATAGACACCCCCTTAGGGAAAACGGCATATATCCACGTATTAACCAGGATCCCGTTTCGGGGAGGGCCCAATTTACCTTTAAAAAGAAATTCACAACAAAACCAAACACAAACACAAAAATAAATGCAAACTATTTAAATTATCGTTCAAATAACATTATACAAAATAAAAATACAATCTAGCTCCCAACCAAGGAGGAACTAATAAGATCGGCACGCGGTAACTGAAATCTTCGGGACGCCATGTTCTGAAATCTCTGCAAAATGACTTCATTTTCAATTTTGATAAAGATTTCTTTTTCAATGTAACATACCAAGCTATCCGTCAAAAAATCCTCTCCCATTTTGTTGCGCAAATCATTCTTGATAATCTTCATCGAGAAGAAAGCTCTTTCAACAGTAGCAGTTGCGACGGGCAAAACTAGTGCCAACTCAATAAGCCGATAAACTAACTTAAGAGCATTGTGCCACTTTCTCTCAACCATTCTTTTTGCAAGGTTTCCAATACTTTGAAGATCAGAGAAAAATGCACGCTCATATATTGTGACTATCGAGATGTAGTGATTCAATTCTTCTTTTCAGTTTGAACTCATCAAAATCATTTGGATATAATTGAGCGAGACGAAGCAGTCTTTCATGATCAAAGCTAGCAAAAGAATCTCTCGGATCAAGACAGACTATGCACGAAATAAGTTCCGTACTCAACTCTCCAAAATGATTAGCCATCTCTTGTAAGATAAAATCAACAACCTATTAAATTGAGAAAAATAACCTAATTATTAACACTATAATAAACAAAAAAAATGTTAATATGAAATTAAAGAAAAATAGTTACCGGAAGAAAAATGTCTCGTCTAAAAAAGTGCAAATAAGTCTTTGGTTGGTCATCCACTTGTCTTTTAGATCTAGGCCGACCCGGTAAATGATCTTCCATACTCGGCACCAAAAGTACGCTTGTTTTTGCCAATATTGTCATCAACAAATAAGCAATGAATACAAATTCAAAAGTTGTTGATTTAGCAATCAAACCTCTAGCAACGCCTCGACTTTGGAAATTTGTGGCTTCACTCTCAACAGTATCAAGAACGTCTTGTACCGCATCCCATATTTCCAACATCCGCTTGATTGTCCTATAGTGAGATCCCCAACGCGTAGCACCCGGTCGAGCTAAACATGTTTCTTGATTCAAGCCGGTCCCCGTAGAAATCTCACCACTTTGAATACGTTGTACAAGGTCATCGTAATGTTTTTGTCGAATAGCATCCATTCTTTTACATGAAGCTCCAACAAGATTCACAATTCTTACAAGATAATCCATAAAATCACTCACACACGTGTTCTCTTTTGAAGTTGCTACAACCACTAATTGAAGTTGTTGAGCAAAACAATGAACATAATATGCGTGTTTATGTTCTTGTAAAATATGAGTTTTAAGACCATTGAATTCACCTCGCATGTTGGAAGCTCCGTCGTAAACCTTGACTCCATTTCTTGCAAAAAAATCATCAATTGCACCTTTTAAAGAATGTGTCGAGGTGTCACTAACGTGGACCACTCCCAAAAATCGCTCGATCACTTCTCCCCGATCATTCACGAATCTCACGACGACGGCCATTTGCTCCCTTATTGAACTATCGCGAGCTTCATCAATCAAAATAGAAAAGAACTTGTCTCCAATTTCATTAATAATGACTTTCCTCACCTCTGTAGCACAAGCATTGATGATTTCTTTCTGAATTTTTGAAGAAGTCAACTGATTATTCCCGGGAGCATTCAAGTTCATGACCTTCTTCACTTCTTCCTTCTCCTCACAATAACAATCCAAAATTTCAAGAAAAGGACCTTTTCGTATTGAATCTTTTGACTCATCATGTCCACGAAATGGCAAACCTCCCCCTAAAAGCAATCGAACAACTTTCACAACCGTCATTAGCCGAACGCGGTAGTCAATCTCCATTTCAGTGCCCTTTTGTGATAACACATAATCCACATTATGCATTTGGTCTCTAAATGACGAACACTGAACCATAGCATTACAATGTGGACTGTTTAAACCCCCCTTCATGCTCCTTGAATTTATTTAAAGCATTCTTCCAATTTTTAAAACCAACACCAGTAAAAGCATCATCTCCACAATGAGTATTAATCCTTTTAAAAAAATAACATACTTGACAAAAAGCGGCATCCTTCTGAATACTATATTCGAGCCAACCATATTGCGTAAACCATGCCTTTTGAAAATGATCTC